AGCTGCGGGAAGCGGCAGCCAGTATGTCCCTCAGCCTGCGCCGCTTCCCGCAGCTCTCATTGGCCTGGAGCAGCGAACCGCGACCAGTGGGAGCCGCGATCGGCCGGACCTGCGGATGGGGCAGGTGAACAAACCGGCCCGGCCCGCCAGGGGCTTTCCCTACACAAGCGGTGGCCCTAGTTTGAGAAACACTGATGTGAACCAAGAGCCAAGTGATCAATCAGCAAACAATTGCACGAACACTGCCCAGATACACTGCCTGACATGTCCTATTGCTATCCTTGAGTGGTAATTATCGAAAAAGTTAAGAAGAAAGAGTTAGTCCTGTACGTTTACTGAGTATTACTGACATCATTGTCAGTAAAACAAAAATGGCCCAAGCCTGGCAATGTTCTTTTATGCTGGAGATAAGAGATTTACATTCAAACCTGGTCCTTCATTTTGGGGTTAGGAGAAGTGAGGAGGCACCACAGTCAGCCCCTGAAGAAGAAAAGAAAAGCAACAATTTGTGCTGCTCTTTAACTGTCCCTCCAATTATTCTGGAGGCAGAGTTTATAGATTTAAAATGGAGAAAGTCCAGCCCTCTTCAGCCGAAGTAACAGGATAGTTCTCGAGACATATTATGGAACAGCCTTAAGGGTTTGAAGAAAGAGAGGAGAGAAAATATAAGTGGGATGGATTCCCACATTCCAGGGGAAAGAAACCCCTTTAGTTATATGGGCTTGAGAATTTAAAGTCAGAAAGAAAGATTACTTGCCTATAATTCTGCTTCTCTGAAGATAACATTCTGACAAGTTTCTTCACTCCTGGATCATATCTCTATAGTGAAAGACTGGTGAACTCCCTCAATTCTTAAAGCAATTTTGTCTATGAGAACAGGGGTGGCAGAGTAGAGAGCAAGCCAAGCTGTTTGCTGGCCAGCTTGTGCCACCCCGATAGATATAAATACTGCTCTGGCAATGTTACAGTCATTAACTTTGATGTACCGGAGGCAAAGGAAAAGGAAAAGGATCTAGACAGTTTACCACCTATCCACATGACTATGTGATAAATTATCAGGTGACAGACAAACAGATGTCTGGCTCTGAAGGTTCCTGGACTGTCTCACAATTTAAGTACAAAATTAACCTATATTTTGCAAGTCTGCATCTCACTGCTCTGAACCAAAAATCAAAAGAATTCAACAGGAAAGAGAGCCTGAATATGCTTTTTAACAAATCACCTTTTTTATGGCATAATATGTAGATTTTGTAATAATTGTAATGTTCAAAATGCCTCCCAAAAGACTGTAATGCACATCATAAATTATCTGTAGTCAAAACATATTTATTATTGAGTGACAACAATGTGCTTAACAATGTTTGGGTAGTGAACTGTACTTTTCCTTTCTGACTTTCATTCAAACAAATATATTGTACAATATATAATAATGTTAAATATATGAGTGTACCTTTCATGCTGATGGCTGGTTTCTTCTTCTTCTCTTAATCTCTTTCCTTGTTTTTTATGCTCACTGTTCTGTAAAAAAATTGAAAGACTAGCATAATTCATAGTATTCACATTGTCAGAAATCTTCTACGAAATAATGTATATGAACTTGTAATCAACTATTAGCAGCAATATAAGAGGTTGCTGAGAAGCACTAATATTCCATTAACAAATCATGGGTCATCATGCACTATACATTTTTATGCTCCATTACTTGTAGGAAGCTCTGCATGAGGCCTATCAAAGAGAAAGTAATGATGTTAAGTAAAGAAAATAGATAGCTGAAACATCAATTAAAGAAATGCTGAACATGTACAGAGAACTTCTCTTGAAAATGCTGAACTTTTGCAAGTGATCCTTAAGGCAACATCCTGCACTATGTTGTGTTTGTGCATAAAAAGAGGAGAGGGGATTGTGAACATCTTTCATTTGTGCAACCAGCAGGACGGGATCACCACATAATGCTCAAGAACCTGAGGGGAATCTGGCTGACTTATTCGGGCTGTGGATTAGCACATATGTTGCTTTCATCGGTACATATTTGATGGAAGCTTACAGTGCACTTGTTCTGAGCGGCAGCAAAGTAAACACTGCATGTGCCTCTGGCTCTTTTTTAAGAATCCCTGTAGCAGAGGCTTTGCCACCATCTCTGCTTCCCATGCTGCACCTGCCAGGGTGGGATTTATCACTTAATTTCTGTACACTACGGGCTTGTCTACACTTGTAAATGTACTGAAATAGCTCAGAGTGTCCACATAAGAGCTTCTATATTCTGGAATAGATATTTCAACAAATTTCCAAGTCTAGACAAACCCTGAAAAATTTGCTGATAGTCAGTCATCTGAGTTATGTCACTTTTGAAGACAGAATTATAGGAGGAGATGGTAGCAATTCCTATGTTAAGGTTGCCTACATTTTCCATCACAAAGGAGTTTTCCAACTTATTTTGAGAAGCTCTCACACCTCCATCTTTTGCAGCAGGCCTTTGATATTCGGCAGGAGGAATCCCCTTGTATTACAAAAGTGATTTTTTGACCCATGACATTCAAATCAGATTAAAAATTACCATTTTCTTTCATTCATGCAGAAAAATGTTGGCAGCATGCCAAAAATCACAGAACACTCCAACATTAGGCTTACATTTCTTTCAAAACAGCAGCAGCATCACATACTACACTGGAAACACCAGGGAGATGTTAGAGCAGTAGTAGTGAAGAGGTGAAGTTGGGGAACTGGCCTGTGCTCTCCCCATAAACCTTGGATCCAGCACTTAGCACCAGTAGCCCAGTTACCCCATTCCCAATTCCAGGGACACCATTTGGGACAGAAGCTCTCCCAACTCCTGGGCAGACACAGACAGAAAGAGGGGCTGGGCTCCCCAAACCACTGCCGTGGCATCACAAGACAATCACAGCTCTGGAGGCAACAAATGTCTCAAAACATGTTAATAATAGGTGGGATTTACAAAGAAGCCTAAGGGAGTTTAGGTGCCCAACAACCACTGAAATTAAATGGGAGTTGGGCCCCCTAACTCCCTTGGGTTCTTTTGGAAATCCCAGCCCATTTGTTTTTCTGAACCTCTAACAATCTCCTCTTTAGCATTTTAATAAGAAATTCAGGGTCCCAATGAAGAAACTGTCAGACTGTGCATTTGTGAAGAAGACATTCAGAATGCATGTGTGCGTATATACATTTCAGGAAATATCAAAATTTATTGTCCCCTCAGGCAAAGATTCATTCAATATTTACCTTCTGAGTCAATATCTCTGGATGTTCATCTCACCAGAAATCAATATTTGTTTACTGTATTTTAACAAAGCATTTTCAAGGCAGAATGGGTGTATGATGAAATATGAAGATATCTGAAAATATGTTAACTACAACTTTTAAGTTTTACAAAAACTAACCTTAAGATCTCTTTTCTTTCTTTCATTTTCTTCCCTCTGTCTTTTTTCATTATTCTCTCTCAGTTGTCTTTCTCTGTCTTCAACGGAGGATCCTTCTTTAGGTCTCCTTGACACATATTTTTCTTCCCCATCCTTTACAAACAATTCATGGCTTCTTTCTTTTGAAGGTCTCTCCTTTCCTCCCCTAACTGAATGTTCATGTTCTCTTTTATCACTATGACTCCTTCCTTTGTCTTTATTCAGTTCTTGATCTCTGTGTGACTTGTGTCTATGTCCACCTTCTTCATCTTTCTTTGTTAAAAACTCACCAAGACTATTTTTGCTCTCACTTTTCTGGAACAAGGAAAAATAATACAAAAAAAAGTTAGGTTTCAGAGTAGCAGCCGTGTTAGTCTGTATCCGCAAAAAGAAGAACAGGAGTACTTGTG